GGGGGGGGCGGCGGCCGGGCCTCCTGAGGGCCAGCACCTGAACCCGAGGCTGCCTCCTCGAACGCAAAACGGGGGTGACAGCACCTCCCCCCGAGGCAAAGTGGGGGTGACAGCACCTCTCCCCGAGGCTGCAGGCTTAGGCGAGTGAACGCAGCTCCCAGGAGCGCCTCGCAATTACGTTTTATCTGAGTGTTTACACTTATTACACTGCGTGACGTTCTAGAGACTGGCTGTGACTAATGCCGCAGGCTCCCCGTGTCACCACGGCGTGACCACCGGGGAGTGGCTCGTCTGGGCGCCTCGCCAACCTTCTGCAAAAACCCTTCCTCAGAACCGTTTACCTGAGCGGCACAGGTCACACGACTACTTCGCGGAGCACGTGTGCTTTACCTGTGAACCCAATGGGCTTTTGGCGGTGACGGTGGCATGTTTAGGGGCCAAGAAGCTTCTAGAACAACGGAGCCCTTTAATAAAGCTGCTGGTACCCTGATCTCTCCTCTCCCTGGAACTCTTTTTTTTTTTAACCTGCGATGTAATTAAAATTCATTCATTTGAAAAACTCAGAAGACGTGAGAACTAATTAAGGAGGCGGCACCGACTTTCGAGGGACTGCCTGTCACTGTGCTGCCGCCAGCCCTTCGCTCTGTGACACGCGAGCATCCCACGTGCTTTCTGTGCATCCGAGCTTCAGGGAGCAGCTCTGAGAACGGCTCCCGGGAGTTGCTAACTTAGATCGTCCGCCAGCCGATAAGACAAACGAGGCAGGTTTCACGGGAAAGCCCGCTACTGTCCCCTCTGGCGGGAAGGGCTGGGGCGAGGCGGGAGCCCCCAGACACAGGGTCAGGACGGGCTAGGCGTCCAAACGGTGGCCCAAGACAAGGATGTGCTGGGCCAGGACAGCTGTGGCTGCCCGGGACCCCGCCAGGCTGGTGCTGCCTCAAATGCCCCGAGCCCATTCTCCTGGGCTGTGACCGACCCCAGGTCCCCATGGCTGGGCCAGACCCTCCCCAGCTCGGCAACACACAGGGCGAACGCTCCCCTGAGGGCTCCGTAGCTCAGACCACGGGGGTCTGAACATACTCGGCAAATCCCAAGTAACCCTCGGCAGGCCTTCCCAGCCCCGCAGACGGCGGGGCGGCCACTGGAGACGGGACAGCTCAGAGGTGACTGGTAAGCTGGCGAGAGCCAGGTCAAGGACAGAGAGACGGCCCATGGGCTTCTTTCCTCGTAACTCACTCCCCTGTTCTCGTGAACAGATACATTTTGGGAAGAACCATTCTGGCAGCAAAGGACACAGGTTCTCTGTAAACGAACCTACAGGGACGATGCTGGCATGGGGGCCGGGCCCCGTGAGCAGCCGCACACAGCAGGGTCGCTGGGGGTGCCCCGCCAGCTCTCGTCCCTGAGAGACTGTGTTCGAGGTGCCGCTAGCACGATGAGGCCAAGAGAGCCACCGCCGCCTGCCCTCGGGGTCTGCGTGCCGGGCGTCGCACCTCAGGATTTCCCCAGAAGCTGCCTCTCCGGCTAAACCCTGCCTCCCGCTGCAGCCCACGTGCCCGTCCCTGCCTGGGGCGGCATCAGGAAGAGGCTCTCTCTGTCCGGTGGCCGAGGCAGTGTCCATGCCCAACCCCCCCAGCCCCAAGGGAGCAGCTGCCCTGAGGGCCGGGGGGGCGCGGCCTGGGTCGCCGTGTGTTCTGACAGCTCTGTGTGCACGCTCAGCGGACGGTGCTGGTGTTGTGAGCGGCGTGAGTTAAAGCCAAGATCCGATGTGGGGGGGGAACCTCCACCCCCACGCAGAGCCCAAAGGAAGTACCAAAGGGGCGCACGCCTCTAAATAGATCCAAGCCCTCCCACCGAGGGCAGGACTTACGAAGGGAAGGGCGGGAGTGACAGCACCCAGCGGCTCTTTAAGAAGTTAGCATTCATTGTCTCGCTGATCGCTGATCGTTTTGGGAGCCCACTAAAACCGCCCCGGGACAGAGCCAGGCAGGCGTGCAGGGCTGGGCCTGCCTCCCCTCTGACACCGCGTTCGCCAGGATTTTGCTGTATAATGCGATCGAGGGAGGGTTAAAAAAAAAGATGGCAGGGGGGAAAAAAAGGGGATGGCGTTGCCAGGCAACGAGGACAAACGCTATATAAAGCCTGAGCAAGCTTCTGGAGGAGAGGCCCCGCGTGCGTGGGCTCGTGGGAGGCGATGGCGCTCTGGTCACCGCTGCCAGGCGGCAGGAGACAGAGCCCATTGGTGGCCATACCGGGATGTCCTTGGTCTCCAGGATGACGCTGGGCACGTGCCGGGCTGACAGGCCGATGCGGATGGCGTTTTGCACACGCCTCACCAGGTCTGGCTGGAAGGAGTGCCCGGAGGCCATCTTCAGGAAGAGGACCACCCTCTCTTCCCTATCCTTGTTGTACTGGGAGACGCAGAGGCTATCCATCACCTCCTCAAAGGCTTCCACTGCAGAGACAGGGAAGGGTCCCGCTCATGCTGTCCGGCCTTGGCCAGCCCCACCCGAAGGACAGACAGGAAGGCCAGGCCACCCAGGCTTCGCAGGGATAGCCAGTCTCTGCTCCCAGCCCTCCCGGGAAGAGACCTTGGGAAGGGGACACAGGCAGGAGAGACCACCCACAGCAGGGACGCAGAAGCTTCAGCGTGAGCTGGAAGGGCTGACTTGGCAAGCAGGCCGTGGGGCCCTAACTTATTTTACAAATTAATCTAAAAATGAAAAGGAAGTGAGCCCTGTGGTGGCAACTCACGGTGGGACGGACAAAGGCTGGAGTCAGATGGGCTGGGACTTGCCCGCCCGCTACAGGACCAACGCTGGCGAGACTGAGGCTGACTACGTGGCCCAGGCTGGGCGTCATGAAGGCCCACGGGCCCACACAGCCTTTACCTGGTGTCCCACATGTGCCTGTGACCATCAGTAACCATGCAACACCCTGAGCTTCTGAGCCCTCGCCCACAAAAAGCAGACATGAGCATCAGACCCGAAGGAGCTCAATGCAAGGATGAAACGAGACGGGGACGAGGACGAGCCACGTGACCCCGCGAATTCCCTTCTGAGGATTTGTGAGCTGCAAGCAACGTGGACAGTGGGCGCGCTGGAAAGGACGTTCCTGAGGTCATTCTTCCACCGGTGAGCTCAGCCGACAGGTGAGCTCTGTGGCAGGCAGGCGCCGTCCCCCTTCCCTCTCGGACAGAGCGAGTGACTCGCGGAGGGGACACGCACCGATATTATAGATTTCCGAGCTGCCGAAGCGCACTCCTTTGGGGTTGAGCATGCCATCACTGGAGAGAGAAACGAGGCCGTGAACGCGCAGCAGCTCCCGAGTGAGGCGCATCGCAGGGTCCCCAGGGTGGCAGCCGCCCCCCTCCCCCACAGCGATGCTAGGCCGTCACTGAAGCCTCCCAGCCCCCACTCCTAATCCCAACCAGCAACCCCCCTCTATCTCCACACTGAGAGCTAGACTCGGGGGTCCCCTGCGTGAGGAAACACCTGTCACCTTACTGTCCCTTCCACCTATACATGGATCCCTCCCTCCCAGGACCCAAGACCCACACACCCCTGTCCGAGGGCTGTTGCCACTGTGAATGGTCACTGTCGTGCCTTTGCTAGCTGCCTCCCACCCGACACCTCCCAAGCCACCACTTCAGGGCACAGGAAGGTGGACCGGGCTCTCAGGAAACTGGCCCAGGAGGGACACAGGAGGGCCCAAAGCAGGGGCCCAGCCACAGACTGAGCAGATGGAGGGGCCCGGGTCACAGGAAGCATCCCTCCCCTCCCCGACGCCTCCGGAGGGGGCTCTAGGCAGAGCAGCCGACCGCAGACCCCTCACCTGCGGCCCAGCACGACGATGCCGCCGGTCTTGGGGTTGATCCTACAGTAGTCGCTCTGCGCCCAGACACCTGCAGGGAGGCAGAGGTGCTCAGCCACCCCGAGGAGAAGCGGTCCCCCGAGGCAGGCCTGACAGCCACGGGACACTCGCGCATTCAGCAACCTGACTCTCATCAGCAGACACGGCCAAGGCCAGAAACGGGTATGGCGCGGGGCGGGGGCCCGGGCGCTGGGGGCGGAAGTGGCCCGGACAGCCCCTGCCCCCAGAGGACCCCGTCTAGTGGGGGCTGGTGTACACGCAGCTCTGACACGCGCCAGCGTCCGAGAAATGCCGCTCCTGAGGCACCAACAGGGCCCCAGGGCTTCACGGAGGGTGAGACCAGGCACGGGGTACACCGAGGGAAGGCCAGTGGGAGCTCTGAGGGAGGGTGGCGAAGTACACACAGCACCTCAGGGAGACAGGGTGGCCTGGGGCGGCCGAGGGAGCAGGTCTGGAGGGGCGGGGCCACTCTTGGAACAGAATGAACAGCAGCAGCATGACCGGGCTGGCGGCCACCGCAACAGTCCCGGTCACGCAGGCTGTAACCGAGGCCCCAGCCACGTGGACAGAGAGCGGACAGACGAGCCGGTAAACCTGCGGACGTGGAGGGCGAGGGAAGAGGAAGGGATGAGAGCAACGCTGACACGAAGCCCCCGGAACCAGCCCCACGGGGCCGCAGTGCAGCTGGGTCCGGGGCCGGCGACGTGCAGAGGGAGGCCCACGTCTGGGGGCGCCGCTACTACACCCAGGAGATCAAACCCCAGCTTCGGACGCATCCTCCACCCCTCGCCCAATGGTGGAGAGAAGCCACGTCTCACGCGGGACCACTGGGAACGCTCAAACCGCTGGCAGCCTCCTTCTGCTGCACAGGCGGCTGGATCGGCCACCCGAACGGGGCCGCAGGGCGGGGGTCATCGAGAGCATGCCTCTGCTGGCCCTGCAGCCACCCGGAAGTCACCACCTGTGCAGCCTGTGTTCACCTCGTCCACAACCAAGAGCTTCCAGTCCCATGATCTTATCTGCCTTTCTTTCCACATCTGCTCCTGCCTCCCGCCTACTCCCAGAAAGCATCTGAGGAAACGACCTATAAAACCAACTACATAACAGGACGATTTAAAAAGAAGAAGAAACCCTGTACTGGGGGTAAGTGGCACGCTATAACGAAGCAATGATTTCAACTCCGAGCTTCCTGGCAGCCAAGGCAAAAATGGAAATACCATGGGTCACAAAGTATTTGTTTCCTCCAGCAAGGCATATCAGTGCCTCAAAAACAAAGACTTATTCTGACATTAAGCCTGAGAGGATTTATCACATGAACCCCTGTATACATAACAAAAGGCGACAGTTTCAAAGAACAGTGTTGCAGATGAAGAGACAGGTCCTCAAGCTGAGATTCTAATCCTTTTGGCCTCTCTTCCTAAGACGGGGGCCCCTGCCCTCTCCTGCGGTCATCCAAGGGACGTTTCTCCCTCTGTTCTGTCTCTGTTCTGCCCTTTCCTGTCTGGACAGCTATGCGCTGGCAGGCTCCGAGGTGGGGCTCAAAGGCATCGGGCATCCAGTGGGGGCCAAGCCACATCTGGGGGAGACACTCCCGCAGCTCCCAGATGGGAGCTGTCCCATGGGACATGTGGACATGCAAGGCCCAGTGGAGAAAAGGGGGCAGGGGATCCGGAGCAAACTCCACCACCACGGGTCGCCGGCCGTTTCCTGACTCCCCACGTGTGCTTTACACAGAAGCAAACTACCTTTCTAGACACTGCAGAGAGCAAGCACTCAGTATAAATAACTGCGGAACAGAAGGCTTGCTAAATTATGGAGTCTTCAGCGGCAATAACTCGAGGCTACTCACGAAGTAGGATGAGAGGGAGGCAGGGACTGGAGCCTTAAATAAAAGGCTTCTGCACTCTGGAGCGCGGCACCGCCGCAGGGGGTGTCAGTCGGCATGAGGGTGGCAGGGCTGGCGCAGACCACCCGCCGCAAAGGCTCTCCCTACTGCCGCCCCGTGGGGACCGGGGGACCGCGTGTGACACAGACAGCAAAGTCCCAGGCTGACACCTCTCGCAGGCGCCACTTCTCTCTGCCAGGCAGACACAAGCCCGAGTAAGCGAGCCGGCCCTCGGGCCTCCCGCGGGCAGAAGGCCGCGGGCGCCGGCTCCTGCGGGACCAAGGGACTCTGGCCCGGAGGGCGGTGAAAGTTAAACGGAACGCAGATCACAGTTTCACGTGCCGGCTTCGAGGGGAAGGTGGCAGATACTGATCCAAAGTTCATTATCACCTCCCCAGTGAAAGGA